AATTATAAAAAATTATATTTATTATATTTTTAATTTACATATTTAAAATAAAAATTAGATGAACACTACATTAATGTTAACATGAAAGTTAATGATATAAGGGAAGGAAGTTCAATTCCACCGGATGGTGTTTCCAATTCTTTACTTCTTGAAAATAAAATAAAATTTTTTTTAAAGGTTAAATATCCTTTTTGGTCCCTCTACTATAGGAAAAAGCTCATTTTTAGTCCCTATACAAAAAAATCCCTTTTTTAGTCCTTACTGTTCACAAATCCGATCCCTTTTTAGTCATTCCGTTAAATTTTAATTGATGTGACAGGTTAATTAACGGAAACACTCATTCTTTTTTTTAACTAAATTACGTGGAAAATCCATGTGACAAAAATTGATGACATGTTAAATTTTTTACCTTTAATTATTGAAATACCCTCATCTTCTTCCTTGGCTTTTCCTTCCTCCAGCCTTTTTCTTTTTTTTCTTTTTTTTCTTTTACCTCCAGGCAAACCCAAGAGGCTGGGTTTGCGAGGAACCTCGCTCGAGAGGTTCGCGACGAACCCAGCTTGCGGGTTTGAGAGGAACCCAGCTCGCGGGTTCACGACGAACCCACGAGCCTGGGTTCGCCATCGTGAACCCACGAGCTGGGTTCATCGCAAACCCAAGCTAGGTTCATTGCGAACCCAGGCTAGGTTTGTCGCAAGATTCAGAAAGTTTCAAATCAAACGCGAAACTTTTCATGTATAGAGAGACTTAGAAACTCAACGACACATACAGAAGATGAGGAATCGATTGAAGAGATCGAAGGGGATTTATAGCTGTAGATCTCCTACTGCTTGCTCCAAGTTTTGTTGGTACTTCTCTCTCAACTTCAGCTTTTGCCTAAACTTCTCTCATTTGCATGCTTACTCTTCTCTGTATTCATAAATTACTTCACTGTTAAAGCCTTAAATGCGATGATGATTTCGATCTAGACTTCAATTTGCAGTTTCTTGTCGGTTTTCAGATTAGGAGTTGAATGAGCGATTTGTATTTGATTTCAGCTATATTTTGAGCTTAGTTATGTTTCATAAGTTACTTATGAAATTTGAGATCGAAATCGATCTAGAAACAGAAGGATTTGAATGTTTCAGTGAGAAAAACTTGATGAAGCTCTTTCATATGCAATAGTTCTTCACGTTCTGTGAAAATATCTGAAAGCCTTCTATAGAATTCTTTATTTTTTGTGGGAACCTATGAATTTTGATTTTTGTGAAACTTATAGAACTATAGCTGATATTATATTATTGAAAACTTTACAAACTTTAATACTTATGTGTTCATTTAAAGTTGGCCTATTCAACATTGAGTCATTCAAAGTTGGACCCAACACCATACATTGCAACACGAGGTTGTCCAACTAAACAATAAATGTAGCAACAACAACATACTCCATATATAACTCATTGACCATCTTGGTTGTCATTGAATATCTTCTTGAATCGTGCCACCTTCAATGTTATAACCACAAGTATCCAATGTTGGACATCATGCACCCATTGAAAATAAGCATATCTCCAACTTTTCACAAAAATCAAAGTTCCCACGACTCCCCAGAATCCAGTTGCAAAGCCTAACATCACGACAATGTAAAACCACATTCTTGTAAGTGCACCTTCATCATTGTCCTTGAAGTTGGTGTTTGTCGGAGGCAGTGCATCATTTGAGCATTTCTTTAGGAGTGGAGCTCCACAAAGTTGAGGATTGCTGGCATATATGGTTGGATCTTCAAGTGTTTGGAGTTGATAGCCTGTTGGAATTGGCCCTGACAAGTTGTTGTAAGACAAGTTGAGGTGGCTTAACTTGGTTAAACTTGACATGCTATTCGGGATCATTCCTGAGAGGTCATTCTTTGAGAAATCTAGAGATTCCAAATTCTCCATTTGTCCAATTTTATCAGGAATCTTTCCTGAGAGATGATTCCAAGACAAATTCAAACTATGCAAATCCTTAAGAAAAATTAGCTCCTCTGGTATAGATCCTATTAGATTATTACTCGAAAGATCTATAATAATCTCAAGTTTCAGAGTTATTTGTCTATACTCAAGGTATCTCCCTTTCACAACCTCCTTCAAAGGTGCCTGATCCCAATTCCCAAGGTCTGTCGCTTTGAAACGCTCCATCAAAAGTTCCTGATCCCAATATCGTTCATGGCTCAATTGTGTTGCATTCACCATAATTGGAAACTTTCCAAAACAATGAGGAATCCTTCCTATCAGATTATTATCTGCAAGATCTAGAATTTGCAATTGAGAGAAAGAGCATAGTTCCAAAGGAATATAACCAGAAAGCAAATTTTTTCGCAATCGAAGAACCTTTAAAGAGTGGTTGCCAATTTTGCCCTCTACAATGCTTGTTAAATTTCCAGAAAATTTATTTTCACCCAAATCCAAAACCACTAAAGAAGTGAAGTTTTTCAAGGCCACATGTAGTCCCCTATGGAGACTATTGTTGTTCAAGTGCAGTATATTTAAAGAAGAAAGCTGTGCCATTGTGCTCGGAAATACACCTGAGAGATTGTTAGAAGATAGATCAATAAACATGAATGACTGAACCTCTCTCCAACAATTAGGAATACTTCCAGATAACATATTGTTTGAGAGATCAAGAAATATCAAAGATTTTGAATTGCATAGTGACTTTGAAATATTTCCAGATAACATATTGTCTGAGAGATCAAGTACTTCCAAATATTTTAAATTGCATAGTGACTTTGGAACTGAACCATTCATGAGGTTATTTGCAAGATACAATTGCTGCAACATTGGCATCATATGACCTATGTTTTCTGGAAGAGGACCTGAGATGCTAGCATTAGAGAGATCAACCTTGAGTATTGTCTTTTGTAATTGAAGCCAATCAGGAAATCCTGTTCTAAGTTGATTGCTAGAAAGATCTATGCTCTCTAACTTAGAAAGTTGCCTGATGCTATCTGGAATACTCCCACTCAATTGATTGCCAGAAAGATCTATGCTCTCTAACTCAGAAAGTTGTCCGATGCTATATGGAATACTCCCACTCAATTGATTGCCAGAAAAATCTATGCTCTTTAACTCAGAAAGTTGCCCAATGCTATCTGGAATACTCCCACTCAATTGATTGCCAGAAAGATCTATGCTCTCTAACTCAGAAAGTTGCCCGATGCTATCTGGAATACTCCCACTCAATTGATTGCCAGAAAGATCTATGCTCTCTAACTCAGAAAGTTGCCCGATGCTATCTGGAATACTCCCACTCAATTGATTGCCAACAAGATCTATGCTCTCTAACTTAGAAAGTTGCCCGATGCTATCTGGAATACTCCCGTTCAATTGATTGCCAAAACAATCTATGCTTTCTAACTTAGAAAGTTGCCCAATGCTCTCTGGAATACTCCCACTCAATTGATTGAGAACAAGATTTATGCTTTCTAACTTAGAAAGTTGCCCGATACTATTTGGAATACTCCCACTCAATTGATTGACAGAGAGATATATGCTCTCTAATTTAGAAAGTTGTCCGATGCTATCTGGAATACTCCCACTTAATTGATTGCCAGAAAGATTTATGCTTTCTAACTTAGAAAGTTGCCCGATGCTATCTGAAATACTCCCATTCAATTGATTGCTAGAAATATCAAAAAATATCAAGGAAGTCATGTTTTGGAGAAATATAGGTATTGGACCTTGGAAAAAGTTACCTGAAAGATCTAAGTGCTGAACATTGCCAAGCAATGTAAGATTAAGGGGATGGTTGTGAGATGGCAAGTGACAATTTTTGAGACTACAATATGAGAGAATTAACCATGATAGTGAAGGAAGCATGCCAAGTGCTTGAAACAAGTTTGATGATGTAAGGCTTAGATCTATTTGACTCATATCAAGAAATGTCAATGAAGTCATGTTTTGGAGAAAAATTGGTATTGGACCATGAAAATAGTTTTGTGAAATATCAAAGTGTTGAATATTTTCAAGCAATGTAAAATTAGGGAGATGGTTATGAGAGGGTAGGTAAGAATTATTTAGACTACAATCTGACAGACTCAACCATGATAATGAAGAAAGCATGCCAAGTACCTGGAACAAGTTTAATGAGGCATGGCTTAGATCTACTCCACTCATATCAAGTTGTTGCAAAGAGGAGAGACGAGAAATCCATTGAATGTCATTATCAACCTTCAATCCCCCATAATTACGAGAAAGATCAAGAACACGAAGCCTTGTAAGATTTCCAAGTTCACCAGGAATTCTTCCTTTGAATTGCAGATGAGAGAGATTTAGGTACCTCAGTCGCTTTATCAAGCCAAAGGAGTGTGGAATAAGATTACCATTGAAATTATTGTTACTCAAGTCTAGGTGTTGCAAGTATCTTAGCTTGAGCAAACTTGAAACAACCTCCTCTACATCGTCAATCAAATACAATTGAGGTTGTTGATCAGACACTAATCCCCTGAGTTGAAGTGAGACAACATATCCACTATTTTTGTCACAGCCTACTCCTCTCCATTCACAACAATCATTGCCTTTCCAAGAAGACAACATATGCAATGGATCGCGGAAGCAAAGTTTGAACTTCAAGAGGGCTTCTCTCTCCCTTTCTATACAGCTAAAGCTTGTGTTCCGACCGGAACAAAACTCTGCAGCTCCAAAGAATAATACAGCAACTAGAACAAGCATAGCACGGAAAGTTTCCCTCATAATGATGGTTTCAATATTGTATGGAAGATGAGAGGTGACATTTAATTTTGCTTGTACATTAATATATAGTCCCATGGATAGGCAAATAAAACACCTTTCCCCGAAGTTACACTAAAGATGAAGATTCCCAGTAAGTAATTTAAAGCAGCCTATTTTTGTATTTCGATCATGATTCCTCGAGCGCGTTCCCCAAGACTTGGATGTCTTTTTGGTCCTTGTTGCTGTAAAGTCAATTTAATTAGTTCTTTCATTGTCCTTTTGCCCCACCATAATAATAATAGAGCTTTTACAAGTCTTGTGCTACTGTTGTGCAACGTGAAGACTGGAAAAGTTTGAAAAATGGCTTTCAATTCTTAAAGATAACTATGGTTCGTGAAAATTTCTTCTCTTTTTACCAATCATGGGAATTTTTGGTCATCATGATTATGGTTTAAATACTGTACGGAAGATTAGATATTTAGATGATTTTAATTCCTTTTTCTTTGAGAATGGATGATTTTATTTTTATTTCTTTTGATGAACGGATGATTTTTAATTTTGGTTGCACATTAATATTATAATGGCAAATCTTAAGCTCTTGAACTTACCCTATTCTTCGACACAAGCCCCTAAACTATTTTTTTGAGACTTATAAGCCCTTAACTCTTCAATATATGCCAGAAGGAAACCCTTTGTCAACGGTTCTAGTAGTTTCCGTAAAATTAAAAAAAATCTAATCACAGCAGTCAAAGAAAAAGGTTAAATTGTAGTTTAGTCAATATATATACTTTCATATTTAACAAAAATTAATTCTTTCCTTTTAACTAAATTTGCTAAAAAAAATTAAAACAAGAAATAAAAAGAATAAATAATCCTATGATAAAAAAAAGAAAAAAGAAAAAAAAAAAGGTCCTCGACATCGCTTCCATGTCACAGGTCTCGATAAATCCGTTCAACAACATATTTCCAACGTATCCCAAAATCAACTTAAAGAAAAACAAAAGACTACAGTGAAATAAATTTTTGTTATTCAACTGGTTCTTTCTAAAAAAATATAGAGATCAATATATATATATATATATATAATTAATGGTAGCTCTTGAAAGACTTAATTTAATAAACAGTTTAATAATTTTTGTGTTTTTTTGTGTTTTCTCTATTATCTTTTAAATACTTTTAAATCTATTTATTATTTTTTACTTTTATTCCAGTTTAATTTAATTTATTAACTTTCTAATGGTAATTTTACTCCATTTGGTCAAATTGATTTTTAATTTTATTTTATTTGTGAATTTTTACCTATTAAAATTAATTTTGAAATAAAACTAATTTTGTGAAGATAATAAATTCATTTTTATTGTCTAAGAAACTATACCTTTTATCATAGGCTACTTTAACTTTTTCTTTTAACGTTTCTCTTTTGAAGCAGAAAGCATAATTATTGATATGTTTTAATAATTTGCACAATTTGTTGTAAATTGCTTTACTAGTTAGGATTACCCTGTTTTAATTTTAATTTAGCTTTTTTGTTAGTTTTTTTTGTTAAAACTAATGAAAATTTTATATTGTAAATTATTCTAAAATATTTTACAAAATTTACAAAATTTAACCTTTTAAACTAAAATGAAATTAAACTAATAGTTAATAAGCTAACTATTGAATTAAACTCTCTTCAAATGTAACCTATGGGATAAATTTTCTCTAATTAAAATATTAATGAATTGTAAATATAAATGGAATTTTAGATTTAATTATTTAATAAATGAATGAAATAATTGAGAGTTATTTGCACATTATCTATATATGTAGGCAAGAATCTAAGCACAATTAACTTTTATTTTTTTCGTCACTTAATTAAAACTCTTTAAGAACTAAAATTAACTCTTTAAGAACTAAAATTGATTTATAGCATATCTAAAATTTTGTCCTTATCTAATTCATAAATAGATTTCATTTCAATTTTATGTGTTCTTTTTCTTCCAATTAGATCAATACGAATTGTACTTGCTCATTAGAAAAAACAAGAATATTAATGTTGAAAATATATATCTGGACTTTTTTGCCTTTTTAATTTTTCATTTTGATTTTGGGATGAGTTGGGGAGAAATTTGGAAAATGTTAATGGATTTCTTGAAAGGTGAAAACCATGGTGGGGTTTTGGAATGTCTGCTACTAGGATTGTTTAATAAAGCTTGTTTAAGTGTAAGGATTAATTTTATTTAAAATTTGAAAAGTATATGCACTAAACTATGATTTAACTATTTCCTTTGATTGCCGTGATCAGATTTTCAAACGAGTGGTATCGAAAGCGTGAACAAAGGGTTAATTTGCTTATATCCCAAAGTTAAGGGGCTTCTAAGGATAAAAAATAGTTTAGGGGTTTTATGTGCGAAAATGGGTTAGTTTGGCGGCTTATGTCGTAGTTTGTGAATGCAATACTTTAGTTTTTATTTTTTTTAATCTTTTCATTATCCAAAAATATAAAAAACTTTAGTTAAAAAATATATAATATTAATATTTACAAGCTGGACATTGAAAAAATTAAAAGGAAATTTTGGAACCAAAATTTGAAAGTAATGATGTAGCATAAATTATATTATTAAATAAGTTAAAACATATGATATTACGTACAAATTCTAATAAAATAAAAAGATTCAATTATTAAATAATATAAAATCTATTTATTAACATTTTGAATGACATAACTTAAATTTTAGTCTTATTTATCATTATTCTAAAACTAATTGTCTCATTAGGCAACACAAGAGAAATCAATATCATTTCATTTTTACTTTAAAAATAAGTTAATTAGTCTTTCTCTGAAGAAATTTATTGAAATAAGGAAATTTTTGGACTTTTTTTCTAATTTTTTAAAAATCTAACTGAAAAATACTTTTCCTAACAAATTATATATATATATATATTTAAAATATTTAAAATTAAAAACCATAGTACTCTCA